CATGTAAAAGAAACGAAATGAAAACAAGGTTCAAGTATGAGCCCTTGGTATTGCAATGCAGTGAACTCTGAGTGATGTAAATGAATTAAATTTTGAAGGATGGTGGTCAACTCGTATTTTCTAATAAAAATATTAATAACTTTGAGGGCATACTATGTGACAGGTACTGCTCCAAGGGCTTTAAATATAGTAAATCATTTATTTCCTCAGAACAACCCTATGAGTTCAGTAGTAAATATCATCAACATTCTGTAGTTGAGAAAATTGAGGCCCACAATGGAATTTAGTGATTCCCAAGGTCAGACAGCATGTAAGTGTTCCAGCTGGGTTCTGAATGGTACTGGTCTGGCAAATTTGGCTACAATTTGAAATCTCCTAAGGAGTTTTTTAAAATTCTGATGCTCAAGACCCACCCCCAGAGATTCTGATTTAGCTGGTCTAGGCATCTCAATTTTTTAAATTTCCCCAGGTGATTCTAATGAACAACGAGAGTCAAGAACTACTGGTCTGAACCTCTCGCATTTTATGCCTCTGACCTACTGCCTGCTCTGAATCAATTGAGTCAAATTCTCATAAAGCAGGTCTTCTTTAACCTAGGATTTATGGACACCTAGGCTACAAACGTATCCAAAATTTGATATTTGGGCATGTACAATTTCCTTAGTAAGATCATCTCATCAGACTCTCTGTAATAACCTTGACTCAAAAAACAGTTAAGAACTATTCCAAAGGGTAATAAAAATCACAGCACATTGTAGCAAATGCCTCAGTGAGTGTTTTGTTTGTTTTTTGGGGGGTTTAAAAATTCTCTTCTTTGGTGACAGAGGAGCCAGAGAGTCACTTAGTTGTTTTCAGGAGTAAATCAAAGTAGAACCACAAAGAAGTCCTTTTCCCCTCAGAAAGAAGTAGAAGCCCCAGAAGCAGTCAGGGGAGCTCTACGGTCTAGAAAAAGGGGTAAAATGGGAGTTTAGTGTGCTTGAGGGAGGAGAAGCTGCCATTCCCCTGAGAGGGAATGGTGTCAAAAGGCTGCAGGTCTATGATGGGCTGACAATTGATCTACTTGCTGACTTCCTAGGGGTCCTGGTTATACTTAGGGCTGATAAGCTCTGCACTTGAAAACCAAGAAAGAGTATGCTTGGCGCAGCTGGCCTTGAAAGAGTAGGTGGCTCCCCCCAGGACCCCTTGCAGCTTGGGCCAGCTTTGCCCACCAGGCTGAGAAATTCTAAAAAGGGAAATGGTGCCGACGTGGTGTAACTGGGTGTTATCAAAGGATACTGGAAGACATAACACAGAGACCGTGAAACACCTCAGGTCTTTTGGAGGATCCATAAACGAATAAAATAGTTTTCCTCAGCAGCCCATCCAAGTGCCAACAGCCACTTTGTTGGCTGCCGGTCAATCAGCCTGTTACCAAGGAAAGAGAAACAAAAAAGACAATGAGGTTTCCTGGGAATTTTCCGATTTGTAAGAGCATAAGGATCAAGAGCTTGCTCTCTAGAGTAAGATAAATCCAAAGTCGAATGTCCTATCTGCCATTGACAAGTGATGTTGCTGTGAAAAAATCCTTAGACTCTCTGAGCTCTCATCTGGGAAATGCGGATACTAATGTTATTTACCTCCTGAGGTTGTTAAGAACAGCAATGAGATATGCACATAGAGTGTTGACAGTGTGGGCACACAGCAAGCCCTTAACAAATGCTGGGTGTTATCATTGAAAGGTGTTTGATGATGTGGCGCATAGTTGGTACTCAGTAAATGTTTCTTTCCTTCACTTCTTTTCTTTATTCCCTTCCCTTCCCTTCCTGTGATGGATTAAAATGGCCACAAAGTCTTTGCAGCTCTTCTCATTAAATGGTGGAGTCTATTCCCTCACAACTTAACTCTGGGCAGGCCTTTTAACTTGCTTCAATGTCATGCAACTTCTGAGTTTAGGCCTCAAGTGGTCTTTCTGTGTCTGCTCTTGCCCTTTTGGAATGCTGTTGCCATGTGAGGAAGCCTGAGCTGGCCTGCTGAGAATGTGTGACCTGGCAGCAAGCTAGCACCAACCTGTGAGACCTGTGAGCGAGGTCATCTTCGAACTTCCAGCCCCAGATAAGCCTCCAGATGACTGCAGCCACAGAGTGACCTGAGGCAAGGCCAGCAGAAGAACCACCTGGATGTGCCTAGCCCGGAGGGCTGACCCACAGAACCATGAACAAATACAATAATTGTTGTTGTTGTTTTAGGCCACTACTTTTTGGCATGGTTTGTTAACGCAGCATTAGACAACTGATACATCTTCCTCCTTTCTTGTTCAGTACCAGTGAATCTCCAGATGAGTCAAATTTATTAGAAAGAGTTGAGAGCTAAGAGTTAGAAGACAATGGGGGAAGCCAAAATTTTCTAATAGGAGAGACTCAAATGCTCCTCGGCAGTGGCAGTAGGGCTGCTTCCACTGGAGCAATGGATGCGTGTGTTTGGGTGATTGTCTCAAGTACGCTCAGTTACTTCCATCAATATCTCTGCAATTGCCCCTTATCCCAGCTGAAAAAGATAATGCAGAGTTGAATGGAAAACAATCAATTTAATTGCGCTATATAGACATACCAAGATAACAGCAGCTTAAAGAACAAAAGGCCAAATTATCTCTTAGCACCACAGAAAATGTGCACTGTGCAATTTTTATGTTAACCTGTTAAAAACTCAAGCCCAGTTAAGACCATATCACTCAGTTGCCTGATCAGGAATAATATAAACAGTCTCATTTATCAAGGACTTTGCATCAGACACTACCTAAATGCTTTATATGTGATTAGTCCTCCCAACTACCCATAAGATGGAGGTACTGTTTTGTCCATTTTACAGATTAGAAAACTAAGATATGCTCCATTTAACTTACTTCCCAAGCTCTTACAACTAATCACTGGCTTAAGTAAAACACAAACTATCAGATTCTTTAATTAGAGCTCTTTATCACTTCTAAATGCTTCAACGTAAGGTCCATAATTGAGGCTTTCAAGTTATTGGGCAATAAAAACAAAGATGTTCAGAACATACCCTCCATAGATGGACTTGGAAATGTACTCAAGGGTAGCTCTTTTACCTCTGTCTTTCTTTCTGGAGACATGACTCTATAAACATCACTAAAAAATGGTTTGTTGGTAAAGTCTCTGCCACCAGTGCTCCTAACCTGCCTTGAGAGACAGAAGCTAGGATATGAAAGAAGGGGTCCTCAAAAAACCAGTCTGCAAGCTCACAGGAGACACACTTTACAAGATGAGACCCAAATCTACCCAGCGCATGGCCCTGGCATCTCTAAGTAGATGACGATTTTCCTTGGGCCCTGGTTCTTTAAGGACTTGAGGGCCTCACCTTCCAGACAAGTAGTTCTAAATTTTGACTGAATGTGTGAACCACCTGGGGATTCAACTGACTCATTTTTTCCAACAATTCCTAATTAACCTGTTCAACTTTCCACTCCCGGTAATGTCCTAGGTCACAGTCAGTCTATGGATTGGTTGCCCCATGGTAGAGAACCTACCTTTGGTGTAATAAGTTCTGCTCTTGGAAGTGAGGGGAAAATGTGACAGAAAACATGGTTATTCTTTTAGGCATGCTGTGTCCCGGGAGAGACGCTCATTTCCTTAGGAGTAACTGTGGACTTATCAGGCAATGTACTGCTTAAGTTTGGTCAAGATCCATCTTCCTACATCTCAGCCTGCAGCTATATATAGTATGTGCCTGGTTTGAAGAACAAGAAATTTCACATTCTTTTAAGGAACCTGAAATTCATGACTTTCACTACATGGTCATTCTGTAGACTATATCCAGAAAATGCTGTCTGGATCTAGCTCTAACTAGATCTCCTGGCATGGATTCTCAACATCCAGGAACACTTTCTTCTAGACCAAATACAAGTTCTGCATTTAGCCATCCCCCAGACCCAAAAATAAAGCCTCATAATTGTACAAGCACCAGTAGGTAATTGAGCAAGTCTCCATATATCCCACACATCTTAATTCATCGTGGTAGACACCTAAGCTCTAGTTAAGAGACACTGAAGCACCAGCCAAGACCCATTGCCCTACAGTCATTGTCCTTGTTCAAGCCTCTCCATCCACTGCCCTAACATATCTAATGCCTGAGATTTAGGATGGTACATGGTATTTTATGGCCACTTGTGAAATCACAAACCAGAGTGTTTTCTCCATCTGTCACCCTATCACACAGTGCCCAAAACAAGTAGACACTCCATAAATATTTATTGAATTAAATACTACTGAGTGACTACTTCACAAGCCACAATTATGCTGCAATCACTAAGGTCCTGAACACAGGAACTGAATTAGCCCCAGACACTTGATAGAAGCAGCTGCCCCTACCTAGAGTTCAACTAGGCTCAGTCCTCCACAGATTCCCAGATAAGATTATTTCAGACTGTGAGCCCCCAAGTCATATTACAGTTTTACTAAAACTTCTTTTTATTTTTCAAAGTCTAATACCAACCCCACCTCTTTCTCTTCACAACCCCACCTCTTTCTCTTCACAAAGAAACCAAGAGAATAAATCTTACTTTAGAATGTGACTTCATGATTGTACTACTCACCACAGAATATTCATGCCATGCCCTAGAATCATTCACTTACCAGCCTTGCTCTTGGTCTTCCCAACACAGATCAATTGTCTTGTATAGATTTTTTCAGTCTATGAAGTTCCATCATATCTATTTTAAAAAGGTATTCAGAGATGTTAAGGACATTTCCTAAGACTACCCTGCTAATCTGCAAGAGGATCAGATCTAGCAACAAGGTATTTTGACTCCTGGTCCAAAGATTCTTTTGCCAACATCATAATTTAATGATCACTTGGAAAGTGATAAGATTTAAAATATATGAAAGGAGGAAAACCACACATAAGGTGGATTCAGTTGTTATCGCCCCCTCTATCCTAGAAGAACATTTCTTTTTTTTTTTTTTTGGTGAATTTTACCAAACTTTTATTTTTTTTACAGTCTTCTTTTTTATTGAAGTAACATTGGTTTATAACATTATATAAATTTCAGATGCACATCGTTATATTTTGAGTTCTATGTAGACTACATCATGTTCACCACCTGAAGGCTAATTACCGTCTGTCACCATACACATGTTACCTGGAAGAACATTATTAAGTATTAGCTCTCCTCAGTATGCCAAGAAAGTGAGCCATCTCATAATTGCTTCTCTTGCGTAAAGGAGAAAAGAATGCCAACTCAAGTATCTAGCTTGAGTACAGGAGAATAAACAAGTCCAAAATAGAAATGATCCATTTGGTCAAGGAGTTTCACCAAGATGATCCTTCTTTTTTCTCTTATTTCATTGGAAAATAAAAAGAGCTAATATTTAGTGAGTGCCTAACCTGTGCCAGCCCTATTAGAAATATTTTAGACATGTACTCATTTCTCATTTTATCCTCAAAATAACCAATGTGGTGGCTGCCATCATTATCTCAATCCTATATATGTGGAACCTGAAGCATGGCATAGATTGTTTAACTAACTTAATAAAAGCCGTGCTGCAAATTAATGGTGAAGTTTGGATTCAAATTCAGGCTGTCTGGGTCCAGAGTGATGCCCTATACTGATACTGCTTCACTATGTCATAGGCAATATTAAGGCTGAGGCAGACAGATTTTTAGAGACAAGATATATTGTTTCCCCTGGATTTATTTTGCTCTGGTAACACAGTCAAATATGGGATTTCCAAAGTCTCATAGCCTTAAGATATGAATCATGGTGGTTTCCATCTGACAGAGCAGATTGCATTGTCTTCCAGAAATATAGTCTGTAACAGGTTTTCTGGAGAACAGGATAGAAAGCACAGATGCCCCCAGCCTCTTCCTGCTGCCTACTTGGGATAAATTCAGCTGGTGCCATCTTGTCCTGTGAACTTTTCTAGCTTGGACTAGGACTGGGTGCCCACTCGTAGAATCAGTCCTAGATACTACCAGGCACACACAGGCCTTCCCATTATTCATTCCCTGGCCTTTTTAAGCTTCACAGGTGAAGCCAGTGTTAGTTCTTTCATTGGTTGGTAAATATATTGGTGACAAAGCCAAAGAGAAAAATGGCATCTTTCTGAAATGCAATCCTGTAGAATAAGTTGGGGATTATCTTAAGAAATCATGACTTAAGCATGGTGTGGTAGATTGAAAAAAGGACCACAATTTTGAAATTCCTCCCGTCAAGGGGTGGAGTCCATTTCCCCACCCCTTTAGTCTTGGTTGTCTATGTGACATGTTTTAGAACATTAGCAAATGTGACACAAATTGAAGATTAGAGAGTGGATTGAGCCTTTCTTCTGGGGTTATGCTTGAAACCTTGAGACCACCATATAAATGAGTGCTAACTAGCCTGATGCAAATGAAGAACCAAATGGAGGAAAAGGTAGCCACCCAAGTCAATAGCCACCAAACCATCAGACACGTGTTGCCATCTTAGATCAACCAGCTCTCAGAGGACCCACCAGCTGACCACAAATGAATGTTGAAGCCCGGCAGAGACCAGACCAGCTGGCCTAGTCCAGAAGAACCTCCCAGCCAACCCACAAAATTATAAAATAAATAAAATGGTTGATATTTTAAGCCCTGTAGTTTTGGAGTAGTTTGTTACATGGCAAAAGCTGATGCATATAGCTAGCTTTGCTAAACCAGTTTGAAAAACAAAAGTGCACAGTTCAAATCACATCAATTTAAAAGAAAGACAAGAAATGAGAATGTAGTGAATTTTGTTTCTCTATACCTGGAGCTAGTTAAAGTGCAGATAATACATTTTCCAAAGAAGAATTACAAAATGATAGGAAATTTTAGAAAACAGAGCTTTGGTTAAAAGCACCAATGGTCTCTTCTAGAATAGAGACAGCAAGATCCTATACCCATCTTGCAGATTGTCAAAAGGTCACCTAAGATATTCTAAACAACACTACACAACATATGTGACCCATTGGACCTTGTCCATATGAAATGTAGAAGAAAAAGTTTCTGCTTAATCACTGAAACCTTGCATATTCTGTTTAGTTGTTCTCACTATCAAAAAGATTCCACCTTCATTCATATAATCATTCCACTCATATGTGTCAACATGTATTCTGTGTTAAAGTACTGTGCTTGATGCTAGAGCAAAATCAGTCATGATTCCTACCTTAATGGAGCTTATTCATCAGGGAGGTCGTGGAGATTCTCCTTTAGAGATAACGCTTGAGCTGATATCTCAAGGGTGCATGGCATTAAGTACACAATTTGAAGAGTAAACACTTATCTCAGCAGAGCGATCAACAGATGCAAAGGCCCTACATTGAGAGAGAGGAAATGAGTAAGGAAGAGGGACTGAAAAAAAGACCAAGATGCCTGCGTCAGTAAGTAATGAAGCTTAAGAGGAGTGTTGATCTTCAACCTCACTAAGAGATGCCCCAGACTTTAGAAGGACCCACCTTTAGAAGGCTGGATTAGTCCAGCCCAGTCCTTCCTCATGGGGCAAGGAGCTTTTGAAGCTGAAGAGATGTTGCCCTCCCAGAGTCCATGCTCTCCTTTTCCTAGACCATTCTTCAGGTAGAGGATGCACAGAATTCCTTCTTCAAAGAGCCCACTACCTGCTTCCAAGGCCTGAGGCCTCAACCCTCTTTCCTGGGTTCATACTTCTAAGGGTGGACCATGTTGTTGGCAAGGTACCTCTAGGCCTGAAAAGTGGCCACAGGACAGCTATTGGTGGGGCTATGGACAGATAGATGTTGGATAGTTGGGTGGGATGTCCATTCATGCTTAAGACTTCTTTGGTATGTTATGGCATGGAAAAACAAGAGTCCAGGAATTCTAAAGGAAACCTAGCTTTCTAGATCATTATGAAGGTGTGTTTGTCTAGATAGATGGATAGAAAATATTTTGTTTAACAGCTAGGTTGATTTATTATTTTTAAATATTTAAGCATTGGGCTCATGGGCCTCCATTTCTACTCTTGCCCAGACACCCACAAATGTTAGGCAGCTTTGCTAGATAGGTAGATAGTGGCCAAAGAACACAAAACCCTGCAGGTTACGGCCTCTTAAACTTTAACATACCCGTGAATTATCTGGGGATCTTGTGAATATGCAGGCACTGATCCTGCATTTCTAACAGGCTCCAGGGAGACGCTCACCTTGCTGGTATAGGGACCACATTTTCAGTAGCAAGGTTGTAGAATATGTTAAAGAGTTTTATTTCTATTTTATTTTTATCCAAAGAGTTATTAGAAATTCTTGAAGAATTTCAAGCAACAGGTTTTCATTCTGAAAAAAGGACAACAGCTGGGATGTGAAGGACAGATTAAAGGGCAGAGCAATGTGCTGACTACATTGGGCAGGAGAAGAAGTAAACACATTTAGAGATATTTACAAGGTAAGATCTGCAAGACTTGTTGAATTGGATAAAGGAGGAAGAAAGCACTGTGACCTCAGGAAGGACAAAGTTCAAAAAAGTAAATGAGGGGCCGGCCTGGTGGCGCAAGAGGTTAAGTGCGTGCACTCTGCTGCTGCAGCCCGGGGTTCTCTGGTTTGGATCCTGGGCACGCACCGATGCACCACTTGGCAAGCCATGCTGTGGCAGCATCCCATTTAAGTGGAGGAAGATGGGCACGGATGTTAGCCCAGGGCCAGTCTTCCTCAGCAAAAAAAGAGGATGATTGGCAGATGTTAGATCAGGGCCGATCTTCCTCACCAAAAAAAAAAAAGTAAATGAATGAATGAATTGCCTCTCTGTCATCTTCTCAACAAAGGTTTCAGAACAGCAGGACTTAGCATAGTTAGTTGTGTGTGATTTCAGAGAATTGAGGGGCATTTATTCTGTCCCATTGTAGATAGCTGGAAGCTATTTTCATCCAAATTACCTATAACCTTCTTTTTTTTTTCTCAGAGAGCTAAAATAATAGAAGTGATAGCAATTATAATTAGAACCATAACCATCTTCTTTCATCTGCATTCCGTCTGCATTTGCTAAGGCCATCTGAGCAGTTTCTTCCTTTAATTAAGTGGTTATAACTGGCATATACTCTCCTCTAAGTGATTTCTCCAGAGCCCAAGTGATTAAATGTAGAACTCGGCTCACCCTACCCTTCCTTGGAGAGACACTCAGGACCCCTGAGAGCCCAAGCATCCTACAGGAAGACGCTCTCTCCCTGGGGAGATCCCTCTCAGGAGAGGCTTGTTTGCATCCAGGTTGGGCTCCTGGGAATGCTTCCTGACTTCAGAGGAACCCTCACTTTGGGACGTAGGAACAGGATTCAAAGTCCTGCTGGGTTAAATTCAGCTGTACCAGACGCAGAAGCACACTCTCCCAGGGGAGCCAGTGCCTTGAGAGAGCTGTGGTTATCTCCAGCAGCACATGGAACACTGGGATATGATGCCTACAATGGTTTGCTGCTCTGCTAATCCTCAACCCCACCCTCCCCTCCTCCAGCTTTCTGCTGTGACTCACAAAGACATAAGAGGTAATACTTGGAGGAGCTTCTAGGCTAAATTCAGGGAAAGTGTCTTAGCTTTCTCATAAATACCCAAGGAAAAAATTTAAATTCAATGCACAATACTCTCAGCCTAGTATATTTCCCGTTCTTATACTGTTAATAGTCCCAAAGATGGCTGGCTTGATTTGCATACATTTCAAGAGCATCTTTATCTTTTTTGTCTTTATTTATTGTCCTCTCCTTGTCCTACTTGCTGCTTTAGAACTCTGTATCAAGTATTTATATGTGTTTACTTCCTGGCTTTAACCCACTTCATTATTCCCTTCCATGGTACTTTATACTTCGTGAAACCTGCTGCCTTCCCACACCCCCCATGCACACTCCCTGACTTCTCCCTCCACAGTCACCGTGTGAAGCTGCCAGACTTGAGTTTAATTCGTGGGAGTCCTTGTTTCTCCCTCACTCTAAGATATCCTCAGAAGACGGCATGTGGGAGATGTGCCCCATGCTCAGCATTTCCTTGCCTGGGCGCAATAATTAGTAGACAAGACCAGATGCCTGGAGCTCACAGCTCCTAACACAGTGTGGGCCTGCGGGGGCAGGAGTGCGGGGCTTGCGGCAAGCTGGAGAGCACACAGACCTCTGAAAGGCGACAGCCACTTCTCAGGTCCAGCCAGTAAGGTCATATGGAAAGTTATTCTCGTACCTTCCAGTTTTTCACCAGAAATTGGAAATCCAATTTTAATGTGGAATCTTTAGATTTTTGTCTTCTGGCTCAATTAAATAAAAAATAGTGAAATAGCAGATCTGCAGGCCAGCATTTTATGTCCTCCAGTCTGCAGTTCTCACGGCTTAAAGCACCCCATAACCACATTTCAGATTATAACCTGAATATATCTGGGCAACCTTGAGGCCTCCGTTTGCTTGTCAATGCATCTAACAACAACAAAATCTGACTTTAGAAGCTTGGAGAATGACATTTGTCTTTATTCTAGACTTTCTTAGAGGAGTAGTGTAAGAGCATTATCAAGGTCATGGAATTCCTCTTAAAATTAATCTGTAGTTATCTCTTTTTCTGCCCAGAGTTTCCCACTCAGCACCTGCCAAGCATCTCCTCATCTCTCTTCCTGCCTCTGTGTAATCCCCAAACATTCATTTCCCCCTTTTAGTATCTTTCTGCTCAGCTCTCAAATCTCCCATTTGGGGGAGAGTACATTGCTTTTTTCCTCAGACAAATCAACCCTCCTGCCCTGGAATTATGGCAAGAAAAATCACCCATCTAGAATAGAAGAGTTATCCTCACTGTTCAGATATTCTGATATTCCTCCACACAACAGTATGATCTCTAAAGAGCTTGCCACCGTCTTGTAACGTTCCACCATCACTCAAAATCCCCACAGCATTAGCCATGATCGCTCACAGCTCCCGGGGAATCTTTCTGAACTTGAGCTAATTCTCCTTAAAGCTAATTTGCTTAATGATTTGTCATCAAATGATCAAGTTATCTAATATTTAATCCCACTCTGACTCCCTTCTAGTATCTATCCTTTTTTGAAATCTATTTGGCTTTTTAATCATTTTTAAACAAATTTGCCTATGGGCACTTCTGAATTATTCTTATATTTTAAATACCAATCTTGCACCATTCTGCAAATGTGCCCTTTGGGTATCTCTTGCTATTTAGTGTACAATTCAACAATTTAAGAATATTTTAGCCAACTAGCTCAAGAACTTATTTTTGTATCTTATTGATACTTTAAAATCAAAAAGTTTTGGATTCTAGATGATCCGTAATTGAAGCGATATGCAATGGAACTTTCTACACCACCAGGAGCAGGGTGACTGCATTACTGTGTGTGTCCTCTCCCCACAACCAGTTCTGCAGAGTGATGCCCTCCCAGGCTGGCCCCTGCCGTCATAGGTGTCCAAAGATTCTCTCTACTGGAGGGAATTTCTTGTCCCTTCTAGAGACACATTGGCCCTATAATCTGCATCACCCAAACTCTTCCTGGGAAACTTTATGTCTATTCTGGGGAGCCTAGCACTAACTACCCAAAGTAGCCAGGTTCCCCACCACCAGGGTATAAAACCTCCCATACAGCAGGGATTTGATGCCCACCTCAACGAGTTAGTAGCTGGTGGCTTTGAGTAACTAACTGGTCTTCATGAACCTCTACTCTAGAGGTTCCTTCATCTTTAAATGAGAAGAATCATAACCACTCCCATGAAGTTCTTGTGAGAATTTTTAAAAATCTATGTAACGTGTGGGAATACACGGAGGCACTCAACGAGGGAGGAGGAGCAGGAGGCAGCGGCGTCATTATTACTCTACAGAGAAGAGCATCTGACAAAGAACCAGAAGAAGGACACAGTCTAAGAATTAGGGAAAACTACTCATGTCCACTGGGCCTGTGACCTTATGAAAAAAAATCATTCTTTGACATCTTCTCTGAAAGTAGCCAGAAAAAACTATGAAAACAAACTGTAAAATGTTACTTCTAGCTAAATAAAAATTGTGGGGGAAAAAAATCAACCTTTAGTCCTGCCCATTATCATATTATAACTCTTTTTTCTCCACAGTTTGTGACCTTGGAAGTATTCGGGGCCATGGATTTGTGCAGGAAACCTTCTGAATTACTGAGACCAGGTTATGAGTGTTTGTTCTTTCCTGGTTCCTTCAGCCAACCTCCCCCTCCGCCCCAACTGTCACATTTCCATCTGCACCTGCCTCAGACAACCTCTCTTTATGAAAAGATTAACAGGTGACAAGAGAAGGTATGAAAGGCCAGAAGCACCCATGTGAGGCCTTTGCCCTAATGGAGTGGAACTTGGCAGTAAAGATACAGAATATTGATGGCAAAATATTTGAATCTTGTACTCCGCATTCAGGGATCTGTAGAACATGTGTCTCATGATATAAAGGGAAAATATGTTAGGGACAGAGAAGATATGTGCTTTCTGAGCTGCCTTTAGATGCACCAACACCATCTGGCCCCCCAGAAAGCTATGAAAATGAAATATCCGAAGTGTGGGCTCCTTCTCCCCTAAAGCTGGATCATTCTCATTTCCCCCTTAACTGAGGAAACTCACTGTCATTAAACTTTTTCTCTCTCCTTACTCTCAAGTTCAGCTTCTTACAGAATAAAACTGTCACCTGTCATTGGATATGACTGACGACTGCTAAGGTTACGGCAACATGCAGTCCAATTTCCATAAAATCACACTTTGCTTTCCCAAGCCAGAAGCACCCAAGAGTCCTCAATAGATACAGTGCCGCAGGCAAGACGCCCGCTGGGAGTGGAAACGTGTCAGTCCACGGAAGGCGCAGGCAGCCGTGACTTGTCAGTTCACAGCCGACGGCAGCAGGTGGAGGAGACACTTAGGCCCCTGGCCAGAGCCTAAGAGGCCTGTGCTCCCTGCCGGGCCCTGCCATTAACCAGCCGTTTGGCCTTGCACAAGTCTCTCCCATCTGACTTCCTCCTCCCCAAAGCCAGGGACTGTACATGATGATTCGAAAGTCCCTTCCAGCTTCCCAGTGCTCCTCAGTCTGCGCAACCACCCGAGCTCCCCAGGCCCCAGAAGGTCCGCTCCCCGCACATATGTGCGGAAACAATAGCTTGGCCCCAAACATTTTCCTTGTCTTTTGAAATAAACGCAGATGTTTTCATCTTTCCAAACCCCTTCTTCTTCTGCCTATATTAATTTTTTCCTTATTACAAAAGCAATATATGCTTACTATAAAAATATTCACACATACAGATAAGCAGAAGAGAGAAATCACCCATAATGCCAAATTCTTTCAATCTGTGATGTATAGGTTGAGTTCTACATACTATTTGTACTGTTTTTCAACTTAATCATATATTGACATACTTCTCCTTATGTTTTTATATCATTTGAAAACATTTTTTTGTTTTTTTTGGTGAGGAAGACTAGCTGTGAGCTAACATCTGTTGGGAATCCTCCTCCTTTTGCTTAGGAAGATTGGCCCTGGGCTAACATCCATTCCTATCTTCCTCTATTTTATATGTGGGACACCGCCACAGCATGGCTTGATAAGCGGTGCACATGTCTGTGCCCAGGATCCGAACCTGCAAACCCCAGGCCACCGAAGTAGAGCATGGGAACTTAACCACTACACCACTTGGCCAGCCTTGAAAACATAATTTTATGGCTATGATTGCTGTATCATAAGTTTGTACCATGACTCAATTTACTGATTTAGATTTTTTCTTTTGTTCTTGTTTGTCACCCTGTCCTCTCTTTGAGTGATACAACTAGTTGTTCTAAAGAATATTAATACACGAGTGAAGTGCTCTTTACTCACTTGTGGCAATTTTTTGAACAGCTGAAAATTCTTTGAAACTCCTCTAATTGAGAAGAAGAATGTAATCCCACTCCTCTTTAATCTGGGCTGGTTTATTACTCACTTGTAACTAAGAGAACCAGGCAGAAATGATGCTGTGTGACTACTAAAGCTAGATCAGAACAGGCCATGCAGCTCCCACCTGATTGTCTTGCAAGACTTGCTCTTAGACTGCTCGCTCTCAATATACTTTCTTGGAACCCAGCTGCCATGTTGTGAGGAAGCCCAAGCCATGTGGAGAGTCCATGTATAGGTGTTCTGGTTGACAGCCTGTCCCTCAGCCCAAGCATCAGACATGTGAGTAGGGAAACCAATGGTGGAAACTAATCCTCCAGCCCCAGCTGTCCAACCCCCCAGATGTTCAAGTCACCCCCAGTGAGTTAAGTCTTCCCAACTGAGTTCTCAGTCATCATGGAGCAGGGAAGAGTCTTCCACTTTGCCATGTTTGAATTCCAGGCTCAGAATCTGTGAGCAAATAACAGTTGTTTCACACCACCAGGTGTAGGTGTTTTGGGCCAGCAATAGTGCTTGGAACACCACACACTAAAACCAACACGATTAGGAGGCATGATGGAATGCCCATTCTAAAAGACCAAGTTAGAAAAGAAAAGTGGCTAAATGAATTTATCTTAACCTGCAAGGAAAACAAAATATTGTAATTCTGGGAGTAGTAAGCCGTAGACAATTCTGTTTGTCTCCAATGTAAATTCATCAGCTACATCATGTCTTATATTTGAAAAAACCAATCATGAATACTTAAAATACAACCAAAGTTCTTAGAAAAGGGAAGCTTACAGGGAAAAAATATCACAATGAGTTAAGAAACAAAAATAAATTTTGCATCTCACTTCGGAAGGATTGTGGCTTACTCAGAAAGGGGCAATATTGAAAAGTGGTTCAGAGCAAAAGTTTTGGAATCAGATTCACCTGAGTCTAAATATAGCCCTATTATCACCTTTCCAATTCCCTCATCTCTAAAACAAGAAGAAGACTTCACTCACAAGGTCGTGTGAAGACTAACAGATGTAACAGACGTCGTGTACTCAGCACAGCGCCTGGCAGAGTAGTGCTTGGCCAACTGTCACTGTTATTATTGGTGTTCCTGTTATTGCTACTATTACTGTTAGAGTTGTTCCAGCCTAGCCTAGGAGGGAGGATGATTATTTTGTTTGGAGAAAGAGAAAACACAAGAAAGAATATATTATTGCATCTGTGACCCAAAGGGCTATTTTATGATTCTGGTCACTGCAGTAAGAGGAGAGAGTCTATGGAGTAAAGCAGAAGAGAGAGTGGGATGGTTGGATGGAAAAGGAGAAAAGGATAATGCTCAGTCCACGTGGACTACTGGGGTAGAGTCCTAAGAGATTTACATTTAAGTCAGAAAACCAGGGGACTTGAGTATATTTCCTTTCTTTACCTTAGGTTTCAAGTTCACTCACTCAATCACTCATTCATTTAGCGGATAGTTATTAAGTATCACTAAATGCCGGGATCCTGGGTAAGTAGTGATGATACAAAAAAATTAATAATAAACAGGACCAGTCCTGTGTAAACCCTCCCTGTTCATGGTCAAGCGCTGTGGCTCACATGTACTGTGATGTAAGACTCTAACAATTGCAAATTGCCTTTGAGGGGAAAAAGTAAGAAAGAAAAAAAAAACTAAAAAAATTCTAATAGTATCTGGCGCTTTACGAAATCCTTTTTATAGTCACATTTACCATATCAATGAGCCTTCTAAACAACCCTGAAAATAGATATCATTATTGTAATAGCCATTTTACAGATGAGAAAACTGAGACAATGAGGATAAGAAGAGGAGCCAAGGTCACGGGGCAAGTAAGCATCAGAGCTGGGCCTTGGGTGCTGTCTCCTCCACCTGGGGTGGGAGGGCGTGTGCGTGGCATCACTGGAGCTCCATCAGCTGCATGCCTTTGCTGCACTGCTACAA